TGTATGGTTTTAACCAAGGAAAGCATTGACATCCAAAGACCCGAAGAGACTTGTAATCTGGAACTTTCTTGAAAAATTGTTCCCAAGGGGAAGACTTGTTGACTGGAGGTAGGCGATTGATAAGATAGACGGCAGTAAGAAAACCTTCAACCCAGAATTTGTGAGGAACTTGTGAGGCAATAAGGAGGGTTCGAGCAGTCTCAACAATATGTATGTGCTTCCTTTCAGCACAACCGTTTTGCTGAGGAGTGTAAGGACAACTGAATTGTTGCTGAATGCCATGGAAAGACAAATGATGCTTGAAGTTAGAACTTGTAAACTCACCCCCTGAGTCTGATCTTAAAGTGCCAATTTTGTAACCAGACAGATTCTCAACAAGAGCGTGGAATTGTACAAAAATGTGAAACACTTCCGATTTATGTTTGAGAGGATACAGCCAAGTATATTTGGTAAAATCATCTACAAATATGACATAAAAGCGATAGCCACTAACAGAACATACTGGAGCTGGCCCCCAAACATCCGCATGAACTAATTCAAGAGACCTAGAAGTAGTACAGAGAGATTCTTGAAATGGTAACTTGGCACATTTGCCTAAAACACAATTGGAGCAGAAGAATTGTTGAACATTATTAGAACCAGGCAGTATAGACTTGGATAACAGTGATCGAAAAGTCTTGAACGTTGGATGACCCAAACGTTGATGCCACACATGAGAAGAGGTCCTTATTGCAGAATGAGCATGAACCTTTGGTGCAGGTGAAGAAGAAGCATAAAATAGATAGAGACCATTGCTGACAGGAGCTCTAAAAAGCATCATCCCCGTAGTAAGATCCTTGACATGGAAGTCAAAAGGATTGAGGGTTAATGAACACCAATTATCACGCAAGAACATATTGGCAGAAAGAAGATCATGCTTCAAGTGGGGAACATGTAACACATTCTTTAATTGAAAATCTGCAGAAGGTGTTTTAAGTAAAGTAGAACCAGTATGGAGAATTGGCAAACCTTGGCCATCTCCAATGTAGACTTTATCTGGACCAGTATAGGGCTGTGGATTCTGAAGATGATGAAGATTATTGGTCATATGTGAGCTTGCGCGGGAATCCAGTAGCCATGGTGGTGGAGAAGAAGTACTAGAAGATGCATACATCGCAAGTTTGGCTGGCGGAACACGGCCTTGAAAAGTTGGATTCATGCGGTGGGAACAGTCAATGGCAAGATGTCCAGTGTCCTCACAAATTTGACACGGAATGACTGCAGAAGTGAAAGAACGGAAGCCACGATTTCCACCTCGATTTCCACCACGATTAGTTGAGGAATTATTAAACCGATTGGAACGATTACGGTTGTTGTAGGTCCTTTGAGAAGTGTTTCGCTGAAAATTATCGCGATTATTGCCAGGGTAATAATTCTGAGAACCATTAGACTGAGCATTGTAGGCCTGATGTGGTGGAGGTGTAGGAAGCAAAGGAGGAGCATTGGAAGCTGCTGGAATGGAGGTGAATGCCTGATACGGTTCAGAGGAACCCTGAGATTGCTTGCGACGAGCAAGAGCCATTTCTTTGCTGAGAAGAAATCCATGGAGATCATCAACAGTAGTATCAGCAAGACGAAATTGAATTGAATCCACGAAGGAATCATAGTCATCAGGCAAGCCATTAAGAATGAGGTGAAGAAGATCTGACTCCTCAACTGGGGCACCGGCAGCAGCAAGAGCATCAGAAACTTCTTTGAAGCGTTGCAAATATTCAGATATTGTGGAAGTGCCTTTCGACATCAATTGCAAATTCGATCGTAACTGATGAATGTGAGAACGAGAGACTCCACCGAATCGCTTCTCAAGATTTTGCCAAAGTTCACGGGAGGATTGAACACCAACAGTAAAGGGAATCAAATCCTCAGAGAGAGTGGAATTGATCCAAATAAGGATGTTTTGATCCTTTTCGTACCAGATCCCGAAGGCTGGATTCGGAACTGAAGACAAATTTTCAGAAAGATCAGCAAGAAATTGAGGCGGTGGCGGTTCAGATCCATCAACCATGCCGGTGAGCTTGTAGCGGCGGAAGATCGGTTCGAACAGAGAACGCCAAACAAGGTAATTATGACGCTTGAGTTTTGTTTGAATCATACTCCCAATGTTTTGGATCGTGATGGAGTTGATTGAAGCTTGAAAGGAGGAGTTAGGGTTCATCGGAGAAGGATTGAAATGTGGAGGCAGCGAAGAGGAAGGATCCGCGATCGCCGGAGAAGGAGGATGCGCAGCCACAGGAGAGGAAGAATTCGAAGAATTTGCCGCCATTGATGAACAAGATCGAAGATCTGCAGACGGAAGCTATGGTGTTTGGTAGGTAAGAAAATAAGCAAGAAAGTAACAGAGAGAGGATCGAAGTCGGTGGACTTAAGCGAGTGATACCATATTGAGAAATGATTTCATTACATTTATAATTAGTTACACTGAGGTATTTATATAAACTAGATTTACACAGGTAAAGAGAATAGTTACAGTGGTAACTATTTGTAACTATTCTAACAACTAACTAACTTGACTAACACTAATGTTTTACAATGGTAACTTGCTCTTCAGAAAGCATGCATGATGTCTGAAAACTATATGGTTCTCTAACCTAGCATATCTATAAGCAGATCCCAGAATTAAGGCAGAAAACGAAACACGTTTACAGTTTTACTATGAGATGAACGACAGGAAAAATGCCAAAAGCCAAGCCAGTTTAATGAACAAATCATATCCAATAATTATGATAATATATACTGATTAATGCCAATAATTTAGCAGAACGAGCATATCATATCAAAAAATCTAATGCCATCTCACCCCACATTCCAACTTCGATTCCTCCACCACATAGTTGTAATTAAATGAAAATTTAGTCGGCGCCCATGTCTGAAAGAACAACCCGAAGACAAAAGAAAAAAATTTGAGCTCAACTAATTGCATGCCCTGTACCCACCATATATATTGTATGTATATACTGATATGTTCATGCATGCGTATGGTTCAACTTAATGGTCTTTGCTCCTTTGTTTCCTTGATTTGCCTAGGTACGCAGGGAACTAATATCCAAAGATTAATCACACTAGTGGCTAGGCCTCGGATTTATGTTAGCAGATAACACAGCATGCCCATGTTCATGTGTGACAAGTTCCACGAGAAACATGTTTAAGCATGTTTTTATAAGGATCAAAATCATCATATATTAGTAGGGCTGAAATGTTTATCAATTGTTCAGTTTGAAAAACAAGCACTCTCCACTGTTCTTTGCCTCTGAGGGCATACCCGGTTCGACCAATATATTATCACTATATATTAAGTTCTGCGAAATTGTTATTAGCACTCTAGCTAACATAATTATCTTTCACTTTTCATAATTAAAAAAAGATGAAGGAATGCATGAATACTATTTTGGCATGTCAATAACAAATGAAGAATAATAGTATGTATCAAACTTGTTATCCAAATAAGGGAAACTCGAGGTCTCTCACTTACAAATGGAGAATAAATCACTAAACTGTAGTGCTAGTGACGATTTTAAAGTTGATTTTCATTAGTTTGGAAATTAAACTAATAACTATTTTATCTTCACATACGAAGATTTTATAATTTTTCTTCTTCTCAAATTTATATGAGTATGTTGAGATTAGTTGAGACAACTGGAATATAGAAACAAACAAATTGAATAGCTACCAATACCATTAATGTAACCCTATTGGTTAGGCAGTACAATATGGCATTGTTCTGCTACAAATCTAGGCGAGTTTGATTTTGTTCCAACCATTTCACATGGGTGGATCTTGTTGCGGATTTATAAATTATAATACAATTACAATTAATTCACAACAATTTTGCTGAAGGATTCATTTCCCTGATTTTGGGTATGAACATCCACATGAGAAGCAGAATCCCCAGTTGTCAATTTGGCATGTTAATTAGGAAACAAATTCACGTACATGCATTGCAAAAACATGATCGCTCACAAACTTTGTGTATTTCTTCTGGTTAAAGCTAAGTTTTTGATCGTTTATATTTGGATGTGATATGTTCAACTGTTAATTGTTAATATTGAATTCGAGAATGAGGAATTGTGCATTCTTTGATTGATCTATTTGTCCTGAACTTTAACTTTACCCGACTACCCTTTGAGCTTTTATAAATAATCAATTTCCCCTCTCACGTTACATTTTGAAATTTTCAATCAAAAATTGTACGGAGTCAACTAGCAGAAGAGAAGAAGAAAAAACAATAACGTCATTGAAAAATTGACTAATTATAAAAGTTCAGGCGAGCAACTGAATAAAATCAAAGTTCATGAGAAAAATAAGCAACTCCTCACAAAAAAAAAAAAAAAAAGACAAATACCTCTTCTTTGATCAGGGTTCAGCTGGCCTAATGGGCAAGTCAAATTGAACAAACCAAACCATAGTAGGCCTGTTGCCTGGCCCATCTTTAACATACGGGCATCCAAATAATAAGAAAGCTCATCAAGTTCTTTAAAAACTCAAGGAGTCGGGCCTAGTCCCAAGTTGCCTCAAAATCGTAGCCTCAAGGAGAAAGAATGTTTAGTTGAGCAGAAAAATTTAAAAGCGCTTCTAGGAGTTTCTGAATGTTACTTTTTTAGGAAATACTTTCAAGTGTTTGAAGTTTTGGTAAAATTTTCAACATACTTATAATAGAAGGGCTAATGATGAAAGTGTTTTCCATAGAAGCAATTCCAAACAAATCCAAAATGTCCCCAACAGAACATACCATGAGGAAACAAGGGTGAAAATGTTCACGTAATTTTTCCTTCATTTTTTCTCAAATCATCTAACGACAACATTCATGTCCGATACTGAAACTAAACTACTTGAATTTGCTCGTGTAGTGAAAATGTTTGGGGTAGAATGTTCCTAATTTCAGAGGAGCAATGAAGCACTCACCAGAGATGCATTTTGATGCGAGTTTGATTCCCACTAATTCCTCTCCCCTTAACATTTAATAATTTAACCTAATAACATTGTTTGTCATAAAAAAAACCAAAAGATTGGAACCCATAGTCAATTTAGCAATTTGACCTATCTATTACATGGGTAAATTTCAACTGCTAATCCTTAGTTTGAAGCTTCCTACAGGTTAAACGCGATCTTACATGCGATTATGATTAATAAAAAAACCAAGCTTGTACCACTTTGAACTGTTTCAAATTCAGACTACACAAAACTGCTAACAAAGTCTGAAACTAACTGGAGACTGCTAGAAAAGCTGCTAAAAAAGAGAGGTAATTTCATGCTGCTGCAATTACCTACTGGCAGAGCTGCTCAACCGCCGTCACAATCTGGGCAGGTTGAACAACAGTCACTTCCTCCAATGTTGCAGCATATGGAGTGGGCACATCCTGCGAAGACAAGCATATAATAGGGGCATCTAAATAATCGTGGAAGTTCACAGTGATTGCGGCAGTCAAACTAGCACCAATTCCACCCGTCCGCATGCACTCCTCCACAATCAGCACGCGGTGTGTTTTCTTCACTGAGTTCCCGATGGTGTGAAGATCAAATGGCTTCAACGACCTAATATATCAATCACTTCGGGATCGTAACCCTTGTTCACCAAAGTTTTGGTAGCCTGCATTACATGGTACCTCATCCGAGAATATGTCAAAATAGTGACATGGTCCCCAGGCCTTACCATCTCAACTTCCTCGAGATTGCACACATACTCTTCATCTGGAATTCTATCCTTGAGATTGTATAGCAACACATGCTCAAACAGAATCACTGGGTTATCACTTCGAATGGCAGCTTTCATCAAGCCTTTAGCATTGTAAGGGGTCGAGCATGCAACCATTTGGATCCCGGGAATAGATTGAAAAAATAGGACTCAAGACGTTGCGAGTGCTCAGCCGCAAGTTGCCCTCCCACTCCACCCGGGCCACGGATAACTGCTGGGATTTTAAACTGACCACCAGAAGTGTAGTGGAGCATGCCACCGTTGTTGGAGATCTGGTTAAAAGCTAGAAGGAGAAATCCCATGTTCATACCCTCAATAAGTGGTCTGAGACCAGTCATGGCAGCTCCAATACCCAAACCCATAAAGGCGTTCTCGATAATAGGAGTATCAAGAACCCTGAGATCCCCATACTTATCAGCCAGGCCCTTGGTCACCTTGTACGATCCTCCATAGTGGACGACATCTTCACCCATTACACATACAGTGGGATCCCTAGCCATTTCTTCTTCCAATCCTTCTCGCAAGGCTTCCAAAAGCAGAAGTTCATGCCTACGGAAAGAATGTGTTTATGCTGTTAATTCCCTCCTCAACAATTAACAGAGGAATCAAATAACTAACAAATGAACACAATGAACCTACAATTGTGGTTGTATAGTGTTGTCCATATATATAGGGAAGTGTTATTAGCATTCCAATAATTTCATTCTGCACTCCTCATAAGTATATTTTTTTTCTAGATATAAAAAGTTTGAAGTGTAGAATGAGAATTTTGGAATGCTAATAACAATTCTCTATATATACACCTTATGTTCCAAAAGATAAGTCAACCTAAAAGGAAACATCCAGTACGACTATTAACAATCATTTATTAATGTACATTGACCATGATGAAATTAGCGGAAGTCGAGGGCCATTAATAACACGTAGAAATTTACAAGGTTCACTAAACCGAAAATTCAATGAGTAAAGTAGAACGAGTCACCCAATTCAATTCACTTTAATAGGTGATTATTAGCTCGTTGGAAATCCATGGTTGAGAAGAGAGTCGTTGAAATGCTCTATTGCATACGCTGCAGCAGGGCCGATCGCTGCAACTCTTGTCGGCTCCCACTCTCATTTGCGCCTGCAATACACGTGTCAAACACAACAAGAAAAAGAAAATAGTTAATCCCAGTTTACTATATTTAAGTTTCTTGGTTTTCAATATTCAACACATCAAGTTTTTTTTTGTCCCAGTTTAGTACCTAAAGTCATAATTCTGGGACACTCTCATACTTCTGTTAAGGTTTCCGTTAGAAACTCTGTTAACTGATGTGGACAATAACTGAGCATCACGTGTCAATATGGGCCCACGTGAATATTACAATTTTAAAAAATTAAAAAAAATTAAAAATTAAAAACTAAAAAAATAAAAAATAAAAACCAAAACTCTCAGGGTGTGTTTGTTTCCCTTCATTGGCCCTCACTGGACTAGACTAGACTAATAATTAGTCTAGTCCCATGTTTGTTACTTCACGGGACTAGCTTTAGTGGGACTAAGCCGGACTCGCCTCGACTACGGACTGTGCTAGACAGTCTTAGCAAGAGACGCCGCGAACCATGAGACTAGCTAATCTATTCGATCGCTTTTTGCTCGCGTTCTCTCATTTTCTCCTCGTCCCCAACCCTGAATCATAAACAAAGACCTCGATTCAAACTTCAATCGAGGAACTCATGGGCTCCGTCGTCCGATTCACCTCCGCTCACACCAAGCTCATTGGTCGCGCCCTCCGATTGGACTCCTTCCTTCTAAACCTCAATTTTCGACAGCAAGGACTTCGAGCTTCATCCTTCTTGACCTCTTCCACTGCTACCTCTACTCCTCTTTGCCCCTCACATCTCCTTCTTCCCTACTTCCCACAACCAGAAAACCCATAAAAATTGAACCCAGAAAACCAAGAAAATTTGAACCTAGAAAACCCAGAAAAGGGAAAGGGGAAAGAGACAGTGGCACATATAAAATGGCAGAGAAAGAGGAGAGGGGAAGGATGCAGTGGGCAGACAAAAAAAAAAAAAGAGGAAGATAAAATGGCAGAGAAAGAGGGATGCAATGGGCAGATAAAAAAAATGAGAGAGGAAGATGATTCTAGAAAGAAAGATGAAATGGCATAGAAAGAAGAGAGGGGAGGGATGCAGTGGGCAGACAAAAAAAATGAGAGAGGAAGATGATTCTAGAAAGGAAGATGAAATGGCATAGAAAGAAGAGAGGGAAGGGATGCAGTGGGCAGACAAAAAAAAGAGAGAAAAAGATGATTCTAGAAAGGAAAATGATAATTTAATAATAAAATATTAGTATATATAGATTAAATTAATAATATAAATATTGTAAATATAAATTTAATAATATAATATATGAGTTATGATTTTTAGTTCGACACAACACCAAACGCTTCACTAAATCAGTCCAGCTTAGTCTATTCTAAGCCAGTCCAGCTTAATCCCTGAAGCTAATCTAATCCAAGATAGTTTGGTGAACAAACGCACCCTTAAAGACTCTCACGATTCTCACCCCCAGCATCCATATTTTCAAAGCCTCTTACATCTATGAGATTTCTTCTAACCCACTACCAATTTTTCAAAGCCTTCTCTCTCTCTCTCTCTCTCACAGCTCTTCTATCTCTGTCTCCATTCCAAAAATCTCCCATCTTCAACTTCTATCACCAAATCCAATCAATTTCAACCATCCAAACTTCTTAAATCCACCCCCAGAAAACCCTAAAATTTGAAAAAGGAAAAAAAAACCCCAAATTTAGAAGAGATGAGGAAGAAGAGGATGGAGAAATTTAGTGGGCTTGTTAATGGCAGTTATGGCCTTTAGGATTCCAGCGCACGTGATGGAATAAGGGATAGGGGTTCTGGTGGTCATGGACCGTGGCGGTATGAGGGGTTGGGGTTTTGGAGGTCGTGGTGGCATAGGGGATGAGGGTTTTAAAGTTCTCTCTCGAAGCTCTTCTCTCTCCTCCGCATCTGCATCTTCTTTTTCTTTCTGGGCTTGTTCTTGTTCGGTGATCCTTAGCCGTTGATTTATGGCTGCATACTCAACAGAAGTTTTGGGGTCCAATTTCTTTGATATCTTGACTTGTGGGTTTTTAGAGAAATATTGGCATACTCATCTTTTGCGTCTGATCACGCACTGTTTTTCTGGTTGAGCCGAATAAAGTTGCAGTGTGGATATATTGGCATGTAAGTATAGTTTGTTAACTTCTTTATTTGGTCTTGCTCGGTTGCTAAATGCGGTTGCTAAAACTTAGGAACTCAGTCAAGATTTAAAATGACTCCCAAATCGAGATTATTCAACAGGATGTGTATCCTTCAACATCGAAACAACTAATGTTTTTCCATTACCATTTCTTTCCCAGGCTTTCAAACTGTGGTGGAAAAATGTGTCATTTGTCCAACATCCAAGGTACTCCAACCCCGCATATAGGGAGGAAGCTTTGGTACGTGATCAAAAACTTCAATGCTGTCAGGCTGTTGGATATGGCGAGGATAAACCGCATCTGCAACCCAAGGTAAGTCGCCAAGGATGTATAGCTAACGGGAAAAGTGAGGCTCGTTTTTGTACATGGAGAGATGCTAAGGCTATCTCCAACCGAATGAGGACCAAAGAGCTCGTTTTAGCCCTATAGCCTCCAAGAAATTAATATTTTAATGAACAGTGCATGAATATATTTCTTACCATCTCTAACCGAGGGGCCGGAAGATCATAGGCCAAACATAACCCTGTGACAAAAAATCATCTCCAACCGAGTGCCAAACATAATTTATTATTTTAATTTAAAAACTACTACAACTTAAATTTAAAAACTCAACAACTTAAATTTAAAGTTTATAATCATCATCATCTTCATCATCCGCCATTGTAGGAGTATAGTTGGAGGTAAACAATTGTCATCGGGCCATAGTTTCCCTCTTTTTCTTATCAAAATAGGCCTTACTCATTGGAGTGTAATCCGAAGTATTCCTTTTGCATATTCTTATCATATATCTCTTCTTGTATTTGTTTGATCCGTTGTTCATGCCTACGGTTCCTTTCTTCCGCGGCAATGACATTTTGCTCTGCCATTAATCGCAAAAGGCCGCCATTTCCTGTTGAAATGCGATATCATCCTTTGCCTTGCAATTTTCCTTCAATTTTCGGGCCTTATTTCGTCCCATAGCCTCAGGTATGGAACCTTCACCTGAAGACGGATTTTCTACCCTTGTTTCTTGAATGATAGAAGATCCATCTTCATCCCCATCTACAGCTAAGGATACAATTGCGAACACCGGCGTAGGACCTACTCTATGTTGAGGTGGATCTTCAAATAACACCCACTCTTTACAAATTTTCCAACAACCGTGATGCTGGAAGGGTTTTGAGTTGCCCTCCATATACAATTCCTCCGTTTGGCGTACCTACAAAATATAATTACAAAAATTATAGGAAATTAATTTATAAAATTAAATATAATATAATTAAATATTTAAAATAAATTGTGAAAACACTTACTTCGTCGAAGTAATTGGTGCCGTTTTGATCGGATCATATTTATATATATTTACTTCGAATTCACTCGTCTTTTCTTAGTTAGTTCTTTATATTTTAAGCTATTTACGTTATTTTTGTGTTTATAGAATTTGTTATGCAAAGAAAATAAAAATAGAACAAGTGAAATTTTATGTAATAAATTCGTCAAAAGCAAATTTAAATTACAATATTGCTAACCCATTGTGACGCTAAATGATAAACCAATATTTAAACTATATATTTCATCCTTTTATATTTCTTTTCTTGTCTAATTTAGTTGGAAGCTTTAAGTATTTATGATACTTTTGATATATTGTGTTTGTAGGAGTAACATGATCGAAAGTACTTATTTTTCTGCTATGTGGGGCTGCTAGAAACTAAATGAAAATAAAAGGAGACAGCTAAGGGGAATAAAAGCAAGCTGCGGTGGGACTGGCAGGTTGACCAGCTGAAAGAGAATAAAAACAGCTGCTTGGCAGCTGGAGAGACAAAAAGAATAAAAAAAGAATCCAAGGAGACATCTACGAGCGTGAAAGGAGGATTGTGGAGAGCTGCTTGGGCAGGGGGATAAAATAAAAAAGGCAGGAAGCTGCCTTAGCAGCAGAAAAAGAAAATAAAAAAAAGGAAGTAGTGCGGAGGACAGCAGGGGGCTGTCTTTACAGCAGGGTGAGAACGGGGGGAGATAAAGGGAGCGGGAGAAGACAGTAGGCAGAGAGAGAGCAGGTGGAAGCTGCCCTTGGCAGCGTGAGGTGGCAGCAGAAACCGAAAGAAAAAAAGGTCAGACAGCGGAAAAGAGAGCAGAGGGCTGACGGGATTTAGGGGCTTAGAGGGAGAGAAGTAAGAATACAGAGAGAGTACTGAGGGCAGAAAAATGAAGTGAACGCAGAGGCACGGCAGAGAGCAGGTGGAGGAGACAGAGACAAAAACGTAGCACAGCACGGCAGAGAGCAAAGCTTCACTTCATTTTTCTTGGTTTTATCTTCTCAAACCCATGTTTTACTTTTGGTTTAATTT